GTTAAATTGTACATGTCAAATGACTCATCATTAAATTGTTGTATTTGCTATTAATTGAGACGTTAAACAAATTGAAAATTTGACTCTCATCTTTGTGTTTTCAAGTGATAGATTTGTGAGCGATTTGTTTTTAAATAAATCTTATTATCTAATGAGAACGTAAATCTGATAGTATATAAGTTGTATTCAAGTGAAGAAAAAGCACAACTATTGTTAAGAGCAAGAGTAGCCCGTTATTTGTATATCTTTTTAGATATAGTATTGGTAAGTTTTATATCTTTCTAGAAAGGGTGGTCGCTTTTATTGCCTTAATGTTGATTTCCGCAAAACATTTGATAAAATTAAGCATTCTAAGCTGTTTGAAGCTCTAGAAAGAAAATGTTTACATGGTAATTTCTTAATAAATATTACAATCTATGTATCTTGTGTCAAATTATCAAATAGAACATCAGGTTACTTCCCTTGTAATATTGGTACCAGACAAGGGGACAAAACAAGTTATACAATTTTGTCATTATCTATTGAAGTATTATCCCTCATGTTGAGACAAAATTGTCATACCGATATTTTTTATAACAAATGAAATCCCTGACATACTATGTCTTTTGTTTGCAATTGTGCCGAAACTTCTTCAAAGTTACAACAGCAAATAAATATTGTTGAACAATTATATAATAATACTGGTATGGATGTTAATCTTGATAAGACTGAAATTGTTGTTTTCCGAAATGGTGGTCCCCTTAGAAGGTATGAAAAATGGTTTTATGGAGACTACGCTATAAATACCGCTTCACATTATAAGTACATGGGATTATTATTTACTCCAAAATTATCTTGGAATAAGGCACATGAAAAATGAGCTTGTCAAGCTCAAAGAGCACTTAATGTTATACACCATTTTCAGAAACCATTTTAAGGATTTTTGCAAGAAGGTTCAAACCAAGTTTTATGTTACGGTTCCGAAGTATGGGGATATCAATATAGTTCCAAAATTGAATCTATACATCAATTTTGTAGAAAACTTTTATATGTACGTCATACTACAAATACATGTATGGTGTTAGGAGAATGTGGACGTCTACTTATATGCATTACGTATAACACAAATTGTATATGTTACTGGTTTAAGTTACTACAAATGCCTCACGGATACCCAAAATAATGCTACTTAATGTTATATGCTCTTGACAATGCAGAAATTGCTGGGCAACAAATGTTAAATTTCTTTTATTCAAATACTGATTTGGATATGCATGGATATCACAAACTGTTTGTAATTGTTAAGAAACAGATTGATAGATTGTTCTACTCAGAACTAGAGATAGGCAGACATTTAAATATTTCATACAATGATCGTTTATGTACTTTTTGCTTAGAAAGGAACATTAGATGTATAGACTGTGAATATCATGCATTTTTCCATTGTTATAGATATACCGATATTAGAAATTTATATCTATTTAGCTGGTATAATTCTGGAACAAGTGTGGAAAACTTCTATAATTTATTATCAACTTGTAATGATGAAACTCTTCGAAAATTATCTACATATATTTATCATCTTATGGAATGCATTAAAAGTAAATAGACAATGTCATAAATACTGCTGTTATATTGAAGTTTATAGACAATGTCATAAATACTGCTATTATATTGATGTTGAATAGACAATGTCATAGGTATTACTATTATATTGAAGTTAGTAGAAAATATCATAAATAGAGGATGTTGAGTGAGTGTTACTTCAGTACTGAATTCATTGCACGAGTTGAATAGAATTATATTATGCGAGCCTCTGGCAAGCATAATATTATTTTGTTCAACGAGTTCGGTGAATTCAGTAATGAACTTACATGAATTTAATTATCTATTTATTGCATACCCAAAATGAAGACCGTTTAAAGTGGAAAGTGTCGTTTACGTTGACGCGCCTGTGGTGTAATGCTAACATTTAGCTATGTTTGTATAACGGTAATGACGTCACGTCGAAATATATGCACGGCCGTGCGGTGCGGTGCCATTTTTGCAGAGTCGCAAAGTGGGCACGGGTGTGTGATAAATACTGCTATTATATTGTTAGTAGACAATGTCATAATACTGTTATTATATTGCAGTTAATGGACAATGTCATAGATACTGCTATTTTATTGAAGTTAATGGACAATGTCATAGATTCTGCTATTTTATTGAAGTTATTAAACAATGTCATAAATACTTCTATTTTATTGAAGTTATTAGACAATGTCATGAATACTGCTGTTATATTGAAGTTAGTTGATAATGTCATAAATACTGCTTTTATATTAAAGTTAATAAAGACAGTGCCATGGATGCTTTTATAATGTTGAAGTTAATAGGCAATTTCATAAATACTGCTATTATATTGATGTAAAAAGACAATGTCATAAATACTGCTATTGTTTTAAAATTAAAAGACAATGTCATAAATACTGCTATTATATTGCCCTAAAAAGACAATGTCATAAATACTGCTATTGTAATGAAGTTAATAGAGAATGTCATAATTGTACAAAAATCGCCCTTACAAAACTGTGCGCAGTAAACTTCGTGATTTCAACATTAGCGGAAAATTGTATAATTTGTTGAATAATTTAATTTCTAGTTAAACTAGAACTGCCACTGTCGTGTCGTGAATACCCCCGCATACCACTTTGTTAGAATCAACAGTGGCCATCTAGAGCTCAAAGACAACCTCCTTGCAAATCCTGAGGTTACTAAGCCAGTGCATTGCTAAATTATCTACGAGGGTTGTCCAAAAAATTCGTGCACTGCAGTTGTTGTCGTGTGAGTTATTGATAGAAAAACATGAATTATATATCACTTGAAGGGGAGATATATCTTAAATTAGAAAACAAAAGGAAAAAAACATGTAACCGGCATGTCCTGAAAACCAATCGTCATACAGTTACCTTGATAACGTAATACCGGCGCACGACAAAAAATTGGGTTAGTTCATTACTTTGATGCATCACGGTATTCTTTAAACACTACATATTAACGTTAAAATTCAGAGAAAAGTGTGTGTACGTATCCCTAAAGTCACTAGAAAATATAGAGTCATTTCCCCTTTTATAACAGTCGTAAACAAACATTTGTGAGTGGTCGCCAATACTGTAATTACTTGAAAATGTCAGTCGCTAAACGTCTGGAAATACGGACGATTATTAAATTTGGTACAAATATTGGTAAAACACCAACAGATACCTACAAAGAACTTAAAAGGGCAAGCGGGACAGGTTCAGTGTCACGAAGGCTGGTTTTTAAATGGCACAAACGCTCTGTGGAAGAGAAAGAGAGTCGGTAGACGATGACAACCGGTCAGGCAGACGTCCGTCCGTAATTCCGGCGCATGTGACGAGGGTTATCCAATATATTCCTGCACTGGTGGAATATGTTACATGTACGTTGCTTAAGAACAATAAAAACTACACAATACTTTGCATCAATCATTCCTCTATTGACAGTAAAACAACATAAAAAGCAAATACCACTTTACAAGCAACAAACAATTAATTCAATGAACTAACCCAATTTTTTGTCGTGCGCCAGTATTACGTTACTAAGGTAATCCAATGACCATTCTTTTACACGACACGCCGGTTACTTGACTTTTTCTTTTATTTTCTTATTTGATTTCTTTTTCAAGTGATATATGATTTATTTGTTTTTATTAATAACTCTCTCGACAATAATTGCAGTGCACGAATTTTTTGACCACCCTCGTATTCTACATGTTTCAAATGTAAAAATGTCAAATTCAGTACACTACAGACAATCATTCTTAAGCCTTTGAGCAGACAAGCTTATTATAGTAAAATCCCTGTGACCTTGATCTTGGACACAGTCACCTAAAAGTCAACAGGAGTCATCTACTAGTCATAAACAATCTAAGCACCAAATATGAAGACTGTTGACCAAAGCATTCTTAAGAAATTGAGCGGACAAGCTTCAAGCTTTTTCTAGTCAAGGTCCCTGTGACCTTGACCTTTGACCAAGTGACTTCAAAATCAATAGAGGTCATCTAATGGTCAAGATCAACCTCCATGCCAAATATGAAGACTGTGAGTCAAAGGATTCTTAAGTTATTGGGCGGACAAACTTGTTTAAGTCAAAGTCTCTGTCACCTTGACCTTTGACCTAGTGACATCAAAATCAATGGGGGTCATCTACTTACCATGACTATCCTCCATGCCAAATATGAAGACTATGGGTCAAAGGAATCTTAAGTTATTGGGCGGACACGTTTTTTTAGTCAAGGCCCCTTTGACCTTTACCTTTAATCCAGTGACCTAAAAAAAAATGGTGTCATCAATTAATCATGGCAGACCTCCATGCCAAATATGAAGACTGCAGGTCAAAGGAATGAATCTTAGGTTATTGGGCGGACAAGTTTTTTGAAGTCAAGGCCACTTTTACCTTGACCTTTGACCTGGTGACTTCAAAATCTAAATGAATAATCTACGTATCATAACCAATCTAAATACTAAATATCAAGACTGTAGGTCAAAGGAATCTTAAGTTATTGGGCGGACAAGCTTTTTGAAGTCAACGCCCCTGTGACCTTGACCTTTGACCCGTTGACATAAAAATCTAAAGGTGTCATCTACTTATCATAACCAATGTAAATATCAAATATCAAGACTCTGGGTCAAAGAAATCTTAAGTTATTGGGCGGACAGCTTTATGAAGTCAATGCCCTTGTGGCTTTGACCTTTAATCCAGTGACCCCAAAATCAATAGGGATCATTTACTATTCATGACCAATCTAAATGCCAAATATGCCAAGTTATTGGACAAGGAAAAACCGCCGGACGGCCGGACGGGAGACGGCCGAAAGTACAAGCTGATTCTAGTATTACCTCATTACAACTTCGTTGTGCGGGATAATAATTGTAGAAATTCTTACTTTCCCGCCATTTGAATAATCATAAAATCTTCCACAGCTGCATGCTTCTTTTTAAAGAAATAAACATGTTATATCAGGGGTCTATTGCAAATCATAGTAGCCGAGGAATTCAGGTGTTTCCCTGCTCCTCCCAGTAGTTAGATAATATTTCGGTACTCAATGTTATCGGCAAGGACAAAAACTAGGGTTGATCGGTATTTGTCTATAATCACGTGAGTTAAAATCGATAGATAAATCTTTTAATGTAGTTTCTACTTGTATTTAATGAGATAAGATAGACGACAAAAGGACCTGACGTTTTTATTAATATACACATAGAATTTGATGATTCTTTAGGAATACTGCGTATTTGCGCCGTTTTTTGTTGTTGCTTTTTTGTTTTGGTTTGTTTAATTGTTTGTTTGATTTATTTTTTGTATTTTCTTCGTACAGAAAATATGATAATAACCAAAACATGAATGCAACATAGAAAATGCAATAAGGAGATGAATATTCAGTATAAGGAGATAGAAGAAATTTAAAAAAGTAAGTAACTTTGTTTTACCTGCTCATTTGGGATAATCTGCATTATCTATTTGTATTTGTCAAGCTTTGCAATTGTTTAAACTTTCTTGTTTGTTTAAGAAATATATTTAAATAAAACAGCTGCAAAAAGATAATTTATATATATATTTGTATCTTTTGATAGGCGTGTAATCTTTATATCACGTCTCTAGAAACATTCTACTTTATGGTTTGAATTAAAGGTTGAAGACTTTCTGTCAAAACAAAAACAACAACAATAATCTTTATTTGTAAATAAACTCTCAAAAAAGTCACATACAAGCGTTCATGATACATGTATATACATAAGTAAATTACTAATTAAGATGGCGTGAGTGCACGTATTGTTTTTATTCTATTATTACATGTAATAGTAAACATTCAATATAATTTCACTGAATGTGGATAATCACAACATACAGGATCTTTAATAAACAAAAACGTCGTTTGCTTATTTTAGAGAAATAATAGTAAGAAATAATTAATTAATGTATATAATAAATAATACTTCCGATAAATACGAATGTTGAAACATATTCATCAACTGAAAAATATGTTAATTTGATAAAATACTTGGCCGACGAAAAAACAAATTTCAATGGAAGACTTCACAAGTATATTGGAATTGTCTTCAAATATTAAACTAAATTATTTACAATTATGAGACAGCTTTTATCCTTAAAGGATTTGTAAATACATATCTAAAATTGTGTAGGCCATGTACAAAACCTATAAGAAAGGAAAAAAAACTTGTCACATAATTGCACATTACTACGGTCAATAATCAATTAAAAGACAATGTCAAAGATACTTATTCGAGATACGAATTAGGGTAAATGCTGGATCGAAAGGTTCCTGAATAATTCAAATCAATTCTTGTGCCTTTTTACTAAAAATTCCCACTCGACCGATAAAGATTACGTTTTATTAAGCGTGATAAAAAATCTTACAGATAAGCTCATTTAATATATAATACATGATCTGAATCGGTAACACCAAGGCGGCGAACCCGAAATAGCTGCTGTAAATTATGGCGTTTTATGATGAGCTTACGTTATTATTATCAAAACTGTTTTGAAGCAATACAATATAACACTAACTCTAAGTGTTCCTGTGTCTTTCAATTTGCTTGGTCGCTTTAGAATTTTTAAAACAGTATCATATATTGTGCATTATAATTCCTAATTTAGTCATAAGGACGATAGACAATTGTCAAACTAGGGCCAGTCATTCGGCATACATACAAGTATTTTTATGTAAGAGTCGTGCATTTTATCATCCTGTCATACATTTCATATTAATTAAATGTCTTTAAGTTTTATCTGTTTAAGTACCGCTAGGAAACGAAAAGTTATTTATATCGACATATTTGCAACACGAAGCATTTAAAACATGGGTGTTATGTACATATTGAGCAATAGTTGGCATTAGCTTTTAGGATTTTTATTTCGTTCCAGCATGAAGTATCTAAGTTTAGAAATATGAATTAATAGATATGTTTTTATAAACTTCAGTTAAGAAGAAATGTATTGGGATATTGCACAGGTTTAAGTGCGTAAATGGTATATTCTTTTAATTATAAATATTTATGTGCAAAAACAAAACTAAAAGGAACATTGCCATATTTTCTTAAATAAATATGTTAATGAGACTACTCTTTTTATCTTTTTACTAAATGAAACAGCTTGTCGATATGAACAGGGCAAATGCTACCACAAATTATCATGTATAATGCTTCCGCAAAAATCAATGTTGAAATCTATTTACAAAATTTTATGATATAAGATTTTATCTAAATAATATCTGAACGTAATAAATTTATCTAAGGACCACTCAACATGTGTCGCGTTTCCGAATAAAAAAGCACGCACTGACATCAAATGCGAACATACATGTTATATGAGATTTTTTTTTTACAATTTGTTTTATTTACATATGCTCTATACAAGTCATTTCTTGAGATATTTCATGCCGATAATTCATATAGTCTACGGATAAAGTCGTTTTAGAATTTACGCGTTATAAAAAGAGGCATTATATAACGACGTTGCCGTTTTTGACGGGTTTATAATGACAGGTTGCAAAATTACGATAATCATGTTAAATGTTTGACAATCTTTATCAATTTTTTTGCACTTGTCTATAAGTTATATTCACGTTCTATACATCTTTTAGGATTGCGTAAAAAAAGATATTATGCAAGAGAAAATGCCAAAATTCTTTTCTATATAGTTTGCAAAATAATATTTTAAGATATTTTTTTACAAACATGTTTGAAAAATAAATTTACTATCATGCCATTGTGCTACTTTCAATTTAGTTACATGGGCTTTATTTTTGCAAGTAACAACACGATCTGTATAACATGATATCTAAGAACAACGTTAAAATGACTTTAAATGTCAGATGTACAGAGGTCATGCGAGGCTAGAAAAATCATACATCAGATTCCCAGAAATTCCCAGAAATATTGGGTGTTTTATTCGTTCAGTCTTTAGTATTTCTGATGGAAGGTATAATGATTGCATTGTGTAGGTAAAGTTTGGAAGTAATATAGATTTTATGACGGAGTCGTCAATAAATTATCAGTTTTCTTATCTTCCATAAATAAATTATTTTTTTTACAGTTGTCGATTGAATTGTTCGCATTTCTTTCTATTGCTGGAAAATACGACCAAAGTCTTCACTTGTTCGTTCCATGTTATGTAAGTTAATTTTATATTCGCATATTTATTCTCTTATCTAACGAATTCTATCTTATAGTTGAAAAAGCAGAATGTTTTGCGAAAGTCAATAGTTTTAGTTATGCATTTTGTTCGTCGGTTATTTTTTTCTTCTTTAAATTAAAAGTTTCACTTTTGATTTTTATTCAAATTCCGTTTATGGCAATATTCTCTGGAATCGACCTCTGCAAAATGATAAAAAACAATAAAGACTTGAGGTAAGGTAGGAACAAATAAGTCGTGTACTTTTCAAAATTCCAATTTATATAAAAATATGTCAAGAGATGCGATTATGATTTGCCGAAAACAATAATTATTGAATTTAGTTAAAGCACATATAGTATTCTTTGAATCTGACAAAAAATAGAAATATCATGTTTAATCAAAGTTCGCAAATGGCACTACTTGGTTTAAAATATTTTGTTCCAAGTTCTTTGAAGTGATGACATACAATAAGAAAGTGAAGTTCATTCTAAACTTGTCACATAGTGCATGATTTACATATTTGCTCTCTATGAGTGTTATCACATCTACCAGTAGATAAAGCAATTCTGTATTTGCTTTCTTGGACAAAAACTAAATATTTATCTACTTTAAACATGTTTGAATATGTTGCATGCATGTAATCTTGGTGAATAACAAGTATAAAATAAAAGATAAAAACAAAATAAAAGAAAAATGTGCTAGCGTGTCAAGAACCACTAGTCAGTGACAAAAGCATGGTCTGAAACGGTAATTTCTGGCGTTTTATGTTGAGCTTACATTATTATTATCATTATTATTATTATTATTATTATTATTATTATTATTATTATTATTATTATCAAAATTGAATAGAAGCAATGGAATATAACACTTGCTTTTAGCATTTCTTGTGTTTTCAATTTGCTTGTTCACTTTAGAAATAACGTTTAAAACAGTTTCTTAGTTCGTATATTAACATTCGTAATACTATAAACCAATTTTAAACTAGGACCAGTCATTCGACATTCATACCGCTATGTTTATGTCAGAGTCGTAAATTTTATCATCCTGTCATGTATTTCATAAGTGATTGATATTTTTTTAATGTTTTCTGTTTAAGAATCGTTAAAAATAAAAAAGTCATTGGTACCCATTGCACTACAATGCATTTAAAACATGAGTGTTGTGTACATATTGAGCAATAGTTGGCATTAGTGTTAAGGATTTTTTATTTCGTTTCAACATAGAGAGTATAAATTAAGAAATATGAATAGATATGTTATAATAAACTTCAGATAAGAAAAATTGTTTTGGGATTTTGTAGAGATATAAATGGTATATATTTTTTCAATTATACATGTTTATGTAAAAACACCCAGGAAAGAAAGAACATTGCCATGTAATCGTAAATAAATATGTTAATGATACTATTTATTTTTTATCAAATAAAGCAACTTTTCGATATGAACAGGGTGAATACTACAACAAATTATCTTGTATAGAAGAAAAAGGTAAACACTTCGGCACAAATCAATGTTAAAATCTATTTACAAAATTTATGTTATAAGGTTATCTTAAAGATATCTACACGTTATAAATTTATCTAAGGACCACGCAACATGTTTCACGTTTCCGAACATCAAATGTGATTATACATCTTATCTGAGATTTTTTTTTCTGTACGATTTTATTTTCATATGCTCTATACAAGCCAAGACTTGTAAACAAAATCTTGAAATATTTTATTGCCGATAATCCATGTAGTCTACGGATAAAGTCGTTTTAGAATTTATGCATTAGTGCACTCCCTAATTTTTGAGTTATTTCCCTTTGTTAATTTTCATACTTTAGTTTTGTCCGGGCCATTTCTCCTAATGTATAAAAGCCATGGACTTGAAACTTCATAGCATGATACATCTCATTAAGAAGGAATGCAGTGCACAAGATCCGGTACTCTGCATCTCTTATTTTTTGAGCTATTGACCTTTTTTAATTTTCATACTTCAATTTTGTCCTGGCCATTTCTCATAAATTATAAAAGCTATTGACTTGAAACTTCATAGGATGATAGATCTTATTGATAAGACGTGAAGTGCACAGAAACTGCTGCTCTGCATTTTTTATTTTTTGAGTTATTGCCCTTTGTTAATTTTCATATTTCATTTTTGGCCTGGCCATTTCTCCTAAACTATATTGTTCACAGGGCGACACATCCGACTCGCGGAGTTTTAGGGTTTTTTTTGCAATCTGTTTACACAATCTGTGAAATATGGAAACTAAAGTACAACGTTTAAATGACTTCAAATGTCAGTGATATGGAGGTCATTCGGGGCTTGAAAAGTCATACATCAGATTCCCAGAAATATTCTGTATCTTATTCGTTAAGTTGTCAGTATTTCTGCCGGAAAGTATAATGAGTGCATTAAGTAGGAAAAGTTTGGAAGTAATAGAGACTTTATGACAGTGGGTCGGTCATAAATAGTAAGTGTTCTTTTCTTTTGTGAATTAATTGAGTTCTTAAAGATTTCAATTTCGATTTCGAACATATATTGATTGCATACTTTTCTATTGATGAAAAAAGACGGCTAAAACCTACACTTTCCGCTATATTTTATGTTATTAAATGTTATATTTGTATATTCATTTCTTAATCTAACGTTTCTGTCATCTGCAAATTAAGTTGAAGAACAAATTGGTTTCTGACAGTTGCAATAGTTTTCCATTTTGTTCGCCACATTCATCGATAGGCTGTACACGTGAGCATTTTTGGTACTGTTTGATTCTGTTATTCACATAGTTTCGTTTTAGTTTTAACATTTTATTTGTTCAAGTAATATATTGGATCTACGCGAACTGCTGAATTCTTCGTAAAATAGTGGGAGTCTTCTTTTTAAGCACGTTAATTAGTTTCTGTGCTGTAAAGCGTTTTTTTAAAAATAAATACTTCTTTCTTAAATCTTTTTTATTATTATTTCCCAAATTGTTCTTTGGTCAATGTCATGATATTTAAAGTCATCTTGAAAAGAATATATTCATTACCTTCTTAAAGAGAAATTTTCAGTCTCCATTTACATGGACCACGATGTTTGGAATATTTACTTAAAGACTGGTATCTAAGTGCACATTGTATATTATTTATACATGTCTAATATCTAAGCTGAAGATAAGATGTGACGATTTATTTCAATAAGCCAAACATTGAATGTGCCAAAAGATCATTCGCTCACACTTTTTTTGGATCGCAGTGGATCTCTTGCAATGCGTGACTCTGTTATCTATTTAAAGCATCAACGTTGACATGTTTATTTACCTTAAATAAAGTTAAGTTACCCGAAATGCTTAAGATATAAATATCAACGCGATATTAGAACTTTTATATCAAGTTTATTTTATACTTGTGAAATAACTAAAAATAATTTTCTAACCATTTTAGTTAAATAATCATATGCATTTATTCTCTTCAGAACAAAACTAAAATAAAACGCAAGTTAACCCACGTTATGTGGCTTGTTACTCATCATACACCAAGGGGTATTTTTAAGTTTATAATTGTCTTAATTTTGAAAGGTTTGCAAGGATCATCGAGGATTGAAAATCCACCAGACGAAGAGCGGCTGTCAGTCACATGAAAATCATTAAATATCTGCTCAGGTTCCCAAACACAGTATAAGAAGTCTCTTAGCTCCTGTATTTTCAATTCCCGGCAGCAGGTCGACGGCGGAGGTAATTCAGTCTGTAGTTGATATCTTGAGTTTGCAGGACATAATTCACATTATTTTCCCTAAAGAGCAAGATAATGATGTACCAGAGGTAGAAGAGGACCTATATTTGGGTAAAGTTAAGCCAAAGTCCACTGAGATAGTCTAAGCAACAGAAGATAACATTGAAGATCTATTTACCTTCCCTGAGTCATGACAAACATCACCAATTGCAGGAAGTAATGGTATGACACACGAACAAACCGATGAAAGGAAACTTCTAGTGACAGAAAATTGAAGATTGATTGGCAAAGATCTGACAATTTGCTGACATCAAAGTGTATGGAGCTAGCTAACGAGATTTATACCGGACCAGAAGTCTATGAACCTGGCATATATAATGCCATGATTGCCAACAATAAGGAAACCTCTCGATACCTTATAATTTTCTATTTTAGATACTAACGTCACTGACGTGTTATAAGAATGTCAATGCACGCTGTTAAGAAGAATGTTAAATAACAATGACATGATGCACTTTTTAATTTTTTTCCGCGTAGCGGAAAGGGGATCATAGGAATGGTCGTCCGTCTGTCGGTCCGTAACACTTTAGAAAACGAGTATATCATCTTGTCTGTACAGACAGGAGGAATTCAAGGAATTTTCCCGTTGCGTCGGGCACACTAGCGCGCTCACACACAATTGCTAATCGCTCCCGAGGCGATAATTAACAAAAAAAAAAACTAATAGGGTTTGACCTTGCGAATGTTCACGGCTTTATATCCCACCAGGGAAATCACGGTGTTTGTTAGTGAGGGAGGGGAAAGAAATAGACAAATTTCTAGCTAACTATACATAGACGAGTCAGAACTCCCCGGGAAGTACAAAGCATGTATTTTCCAGCACGATCTACTAGCTAGACTTATATGGCTATTGATGGTTAACGAAATCCCTTGTCGAGAAGCTAGAGAAGTCAGTTAGCAAGCATCAAAAAAGATGGCTAGGCCTCCCACCATCATTCACCAGTTAAGATTTATAATACCACTCATTAGAGCTAGAGATGTCATTCAACTAACTGGTCAAAAAGTATAAAGTTTATAAGACACGTCTGCTGCTTACACGAAGGGACTCTCATGAGAAAATTAGTGGTACAGGCATAGAAGTTAGAAGTGTGAGGAAATGGTGAGTGATGCAGGCAGTAGAACAAGCTGAAAGTAGTTCAAAGCTCCAGGATATGGTAGGAACAACACACATGGGTAGGGAAGGACTAGGTACCGGGTACAAACAATCATGGAGAGAGTGTGACAAAGTGGAGAGAAGACCGATGGTTCAGACAGAACTAAGGATGGCAGAATATAAACAAAAAATCATCTAAATCAGTTTAACTTGGATCACAGGAGAACTAGATGAAGTGGAACTTACCAGAAAGGAAGTTAACCTTGCAGGAACAATGGCAATATTAACCACTTTTCTAAGTTTCCTCCATAGATCTATTCGACTTACTACATTCTCCAACAAATCAATTGTGCAAGTTGTCAGCAGGTCCCAGCTGTCCTCTTTGCGGGAATGTAGAATCATTACGCCATTATCATGTCATCATGTAATACTGCATTCCCAGGGACGATACAAATGGTGTCACGACCAAGTTCTTCATTAAATGGCAGACATCCTTGAGAACAAAAGGAAGAAAGACAGACCGTTAAACCAGACAGGAACATATATTTTATCAACCTCGTTTAAGAAGGGAGGAAAAAGTATGCAAAATCAACAAGTACTGTCATTTTACGTACGTCCAAGAATTACATAGATCTTGGGAAGAATCTAAAGACCCCAAAAGAAGTGACTCACACATCATTCCGGCCAGACATAGGTTTGTGGTCAAGGTCTCCGAAGTTTGTTGTAATGGTTGAACTCACTGTCCCTTGGGAAGAGATAGTAAAACAAAAAGGGAAAATACCAAGACTTGGCAGATACTTGTAGATAAAGAGGATGGAAGACATGAGTGTTACTAGTAGGAGTTGAGTGCATAGGCTTTCCATTACAGTCAGTTTGTAAAATGCTGGGAGCAGTGTGCATTAAAGTAGGAGCCCGAAAAACAGCAGCACATGCTCATGGCAATAGTGCAGAGAGAGAGAGCGTCCAGTTGGCTCTGGCTAAAATGCAATGAACCAACCTGGCAGCAATCGTAGACGAGGTTGTACCTGAACAACACTATCTGCCCTCTAGAACATGTTCTGAGATAAGCGGTGAAACATCCAGTGACAGATGGGTACTCGGCTGGTGACGTCTACCTTCAACAGTATATATATGTATTTTCACATCATCTCATAAGCGGTCATTGTCGAATTAAGTAAAATGCAGCGAAACATAAGATTTTATTGAACATTAGTTGTTGTACAATTAATTATAGAATGGAATGTAAAATATTCAAATATACTACATATTTGAAATCTGAAATACCAAATGTATATGTTGTTGTTGTTGTTGTTGTTATTCATTTTCTTACTTTATATGTTGTTTATGTTACTTCATTTATTGTTTATTTTACTTTATATGCTGTTTATTTTACTTTATATATTGTTTATTTTACTTTATATGTTGTTAATTTTAATACTTTATAAGTGTTTTTTTACTTTATTTGCTGTCTTCCTTCCTTTATTTGCTGCTTATTTTACATTATCTTTATCTTTATCACTTTTTTCACTTTTACCAGGTGGCTGGCAACTACAAATGGTTTATAGATTTACAAGACGAACTAAATAAAGAAGTTAAAAAATGGAGGATTCATCATACGTAATCTACGAAAGACTGGTAGGTTAATTTCAACTTCATGAATTCATAAATTTAACTTCCTGAATTCACGTTCTGAACATGCGGAATTCACGAATTCATGATTTCAAGTTCAGGAATTCTTGATTCAATCTTCACGAATTCAATTTCGTGAATTCATGATTTCAACTTTAGAATTCAACTTCATTAAAACACGATTTCAACTTCTCAAATTCACGATTTCAACTTCACTAATTAACGATTTCAATTTCATAAAGTTGAAACCGTGAGTTTGTAAAGTTGATATCGTTACTAGTAATTCATAAAGTTGAAATCGTGATTCATGAAGTTGAAATCGTGAATTCATGAAGTTGAAATCGGGAATTCGTCAAGTTGAATTCGTCAATTCATGAAGGTGAAATGGCCCGACCGAGCTTTCCTTGTAATCGTAATATTATGTTTTTAAAATGTACACAAATTACCCAACATAATACGACATTTGAAAAACAACTTCAGGTCGAATGCTACATGTTTAAGCACATTGAATTATTCAGATAAGCTAATATCACAAATATTTGTTAATATCTATGAAATATTTGCTATACAATATTTTGCATTAATTGTATCATAAGTTGCCAGTGTCAAATGGTACCTTGTCAAATAAAGTTGTAAGTCTTGTTAACGAGATATTCATTTTAAAACTTATTTTAAAAATATTTATTCATTAAAGACCTATTTATGTCTCAGAAATGTTTTTCTTTTGATTTCTCGAAAGCTTTTTTAATTTGGTGTAATCCTAAACTATTCAAAATTACTCGATGGCCAATAACCAAAATAACTAATTAGTATTTTGTATAGAAGTCCAAATACTACTTTGTTAATATTTTAATTTTGTTTATGACAAATCATTTTATTTTTATTGCCACTTCTTTCTTACAACAAGCATCTATTATTTCTGTAAAATAATTTCTTCGACATTACAAAATAGAAGTTTGCCCTTTTTAAAGAAGAACAAATTTATTTGTTACAGAATAAAAGCGATTTAACAAGAGGGCACGAATACTATCTCAGTAATTTATTATTTTTGGAACAAGCTTCGCCCATTGCATTGAAGGCCATTTTGAAAAGGGAAGTCGATAAATGTGGAACAGATATTGCTACTTTGTTAAATGAAAATAAAAACTCATTCAAAACCAAGTTCGAAACGGAATATCTTCAGCTGTTTCAAAATGATATGCTCAATACAGATTTTGATTTCTGGGACACTCTGCAACTTTGTGCTGCTATATTCGTCTTATTTGAATCTGATTTAGCTGATCCAGAAGTTGAAGCCATCCAATGTATATATGAAAATAGAAAAGATATTGAAAATTACGCAGAAGTTGCCTCTCTAACATACACTACCTACAAGGAGAAACAACATACATTGCGAGAGCAATTACTCGAGTTGATAAAGCTCATAAACGACAAAGAAAAGCTTGATTGTAAACGCATGATGTTTTCATTTGAACCAAAATCAATGAACTTAAGCGAAAAACTAATAGGAAATCTAAAACAGACAAAGGATGTCAAAACCCATCTTCAAATTGCAATCGAAGGAAATGTTGTAACAAAGATCGAAACCATAAGTGACGAAAACGATCCAATTCTGCTGAAAAATGGTGTGTATACGTTGTAAAATAAATGTGAAGTCGGTCATAACATTGCCTTTGGTTCCAACACATTAAATTATTTTCAGCTCTTATTAAAAATATCAATTACCTTCATTCAATGTGATAATATAAATTAGACGCGCATTTAATGCCCCATTTATACACACTCAGTGAATATGGATGTGCATATATAAAAAATTTGTAATTATCATTACCACTTTTGCTGAACAAACAGAAGGTATATGTTATTTTACAAAAATCTTCAAATTTCCTCAATTTCTTTCTTTTTGGTGACAATGACAGCATTTTATCTAAATGTTCACAGTTTTAAACCGAAGTTGGTATTTCGGCTAGTTTTCCGGAAAGTTTTTAAATTAATCTTTTCTTTTTGTTGTTCCTTGGATATTTGATGTTGTCTTTGTAAAAGACTTGAATTAATAATTTTCACAAGAATGAAGTATTTGCAAAACATTTATCCGGTCATCACATCGTAATGAAAATTAATGGTATAATAGTTGATAATTTGATAAAGCAGTTATAACGATTCTTTTACTATTTAATTAAATTATTTATTAAAACGTTCTGAATATTTCAGACAACATTTTCATTGAAGACCTTAAGAACAAAAAGGTCTTCATCAATGATTCGGCTGTTTTAATCTGTAAACTTAACTCCGCAGCGAGTGAGACTGTTGTTTGGAAGAAGGATTGCAAGCCGGTCGAAATGACAGACAATATCGTGTTCATGGAAAACCATTGCACCCATTGTTTAGCGATAGCACACGCATCATTGGAAGATACGGGCATATATGCCTGTGTATGTGGAAAAATTTCAACATCAGCTAATCTTACTGTTATAGGTACATGTACTAAGTATTATTAATAAATGTTCTTGTCTAATTGTTCTATAAGTATACTTACAGTTACAAATGTTCCTGTAGCAAAGTAAGTATTCAAAGCGTGTTGCTTTCTTAAAAAAACACACAATTGATATAATAGATCATGCCCCAAAAGACAATATTGGTCCAACTCCAGGATTCACTAATTTTATTGACTTCTTCAAAAATCTTATTTGAGTCTTATCGTGTAAAATTACCATACTTAGAGCTTAGATATTCGGCATAAAGCATCTGTTAAGGACCTCTAAAAACTTATATCATGCTTAAATCATGATCCTTGGGTCAATACATGGATGTCCTGGAGTCACTTTAAAATAATAATAAAGAAAAGAGATATAAGCCTTATTGTGTGAAACTACAATGTGAACCGTTAAGATATTTTGCATGTAGCGTAACCGTGCGAACTTCTACAAAACTGATATTAGTTATGCCCCTGAGGTCAAGATTATATAGACTTATTTACGAAATCACTATAAAGTTTTATTGTGTTAAACTACGAAGCCCAAAGCTAAGATATTTGGCATGTTTAATAAATTTGTCGATTTCCAAAAGTTCAAATTATCATGACCTGCAGGTCAAAATTGATCCTAAGACTATGGGGGAGGAAACGCATCTTATCGTTTTATTGATACCTGCTGTGCCTCTTATTTTGCATATAACATTGCATGGTAGACCTCATTTAAAGTCATCTCGTGTAAAATTAGCCACCACCTTGGAGGCCATGTAGTATCATAAGGATAATTTAGATAAAATGTTTTAAGTTTCTTTATTAGATATTTTCCCTAATTTAATTACTTGAACAAATTTATTGCCTTAAAGGGCTGGAATATTATAATTGCAGCTAACGATTATCCCTGCTTGTTCATAAGAGGCGATTTAATCGGTTCAAATTACTGGAGTCAATGCATATCATACACAAAACAGGTGACGTGTTTTTAGCCCTTTGTGCAACACCCGAGGAAAGCAAAATTATCTTTCCTTTTCGTCGCCATAACATAAATTGTGCCTGCTTTAAAAAACCAACAAAAAAAATCTTCGAGGGAAAAAGCTTTATAAATTAAAATTTATCTAATTATTTTTCCATATTTATAAAAAGGAAAATTGAGGGGGTTTTTGTTTTGCCTGCCAGTAAAAATTACGGGGAAAAAAAATTGCTTTAGATTTGGGGTGAACATCTGACAAAAACCTTGGAGAACGGGGAAAAAAATAAAATGTCCAGAATTGAATTACAAAAAAAGGAACCCCCCGTGAAATGAATGAAAATTCCCGGGAGGGTGTTTTTTGATTTGGAGGTTACCCAAACCCTGATGTACAAGGTCATTTAAAATTATGTAAAATTTTAAAATTGTTTTAAAATAAAATAGTTATTTTTTTTTTTTTGTCAATAATTTTTAGTAAGATTGACAATTTGAAATTTTTGACCCTGTGGGTTTTGTAAAATTTCAGTTTTCAACGATTTTTTTAATTTAGATTTTTTTTTTTTTTATAACTCGATTTTTTTTCTTTTTTTGCAATACCCAAATGATAAGAAATTTTTATAAATTTTCTTAAATTTTTAATTAGGGAAACAACGTTATCACAAAAAACAATTCGAGGTTGTTCCAAAAATTGGGGTAAGGTTTCTAGCAAAAATATTTAAAATGGGGTTTAGAAAATTTTCCGACAAGTGTCAGAAAAACCCCATGATTTCTGTCAATCTTTAAGGCACATTAAAACTTGTACAAAAGGAAAATCTTTTTTCCCCCAAAACGACCCGGGTCCACACCCAAAAAAAACAAAAAAAGCTTTTTTTTAAAAAAAAAACAGAATCTGGAAAGATTGTCCAAAAAGGATTTGTGGGAAAATTTTATGAGCTTGTTTTTTATCATCGTTCCGAGATCCATTATTGGCAAAACACCGATGATCTACAAAAAATGGAGCAGTGATCCTTGGAATGTTGCTACATGCTTTGTATATTCTGGCTACAGAAACAAGAAATCTGCCAAGATGTTGACTGCTCAGCGCTTACTGAGTATGATTTTTAACAAGTTTTCATAGAAATGATGCTCGGAAGGAAGATACCTTAATGGCAAAGTCAGATGCTTTTTCACAGTTATATAATTATATATAGAAAATGATAATTCATCTAAAGTGTACCATTGTTTATTAAAAATATATTCAATAATAACTAATGTTTTTTGTTAAATAGCAGTTAACCTTTTGCGCATATTACCATGATTTGTTAATTGATTAGATTACAAGCATGCCTGTCTTTCTTTTTGATCTAGAACGTTCTGTAATTAAATAAAGTATAAAACTTTTCCATTTAGCAATGTTTAAACAAATAACGATTTTTTCCTTTTTAAAGATGATATATGTAGAAGGAGTTTATTTTATAGGGACGGGAAGCACCAAGAAAACACATTTAAAAATATGGCTCTTGAAAAACCTTGACAAATTTTTTAAAAAAGTTCAAAAGTACTGAAAACAAAAAAACAAGGCAAAAGCCTCAAAAAATAAAAGGTGTGAAAGAAACTAATTTTGGAGAGGGAAAAACTTTAAAAAAAATAAATTTAGATTTGTAAAAAAGTTTTATAAAACTTTAAAAAATCCTTTTTAAATATAAATATAGGTTTAAATTTTAGGATTTTGCTACAAGGTGGCATTAATTTTTCAAAGTTAAAAAGATTAAAATTGTTCTTTCTTTGTAACGCTTTTTTTTGGGTTAGATTATACAAATTTAAAAAATCACCAGGGAAACAAGACTAATAAAAAATTTTACGCTGTTTTTTCACATTTTCGGGGTTCGAGGGGGATCAAATCTTTTTTTGTACTATGACCCAGTAAAGAATACCGTGTAAAGATTATGAATTATAATGTGTACTTTACTTTCCAAAAAAAAATTTAAATAGTACGTCATGCCATTTTTGTACTTGAATGAATTATATATATAAGTTAGAGGAGAAATGCCAAGCGGGAAAAGAGCAAGCAAGTCTAAAGTTTAATTTTATGAATTTTGTATTTACTTCTGAATTCATTAATGTTAAACATTAACAAGCTTAAATCATTTTGAGATCTTTGTTTCCATATCTATATGCATCTTATCAACAACCGTTAGTTTAGATTAGACGAAATATTTTACAACGTGTTAAACTTTTTCAGCTTGAATTTAAACTTCAACAGATGGAACAGCAGCTAAAAGGTTTGTTTTGACATTTTTACAAACATAAATTCAAAAATGATCAACCTTTTTTTGTAAAGGTTTG